ATTCCCATCAGGCTGTTCAGTTGTGAAGAAATTGGACCAGAATATCTTGACCAGTTAGAAGTTGCAATCAACTTCACGCTGGCTCACTGCACTAAAATGTTCGGTGTCGGTTGGAAAATGTCAGAAAAAATTGACTTGTTGGTGACTTTGCACCAGTTCGGTGGGATGGAACAGCCGGGATTGATTCCAATCCAGAACAATTATGTCAATCAGAACCCATCAGCTTTGGTGAGAGTCACCATCCACGAGTTAATTCACCAATGGACAGGTAACAAGCATAACACTTATGTAAAGAAATACAAAACATGAAAACTGGGAATGAATTAAACCTAGCACCTTCTCTTCAATTTTTCAAAGCCTATGAAAACTTCTTGAAAAAAAATACAGAAACGGGTAAAAAAAATTAAATTGACAAAATACATCGAACACCCTGAAAAGATAAACGAATACCTCAAAAAACAAACAAACCAAGATTTTGGACATTGAATCACAACACAATTGCAAAAAAATGCTATAGAAAAATTCCCTTATAAGTTATCAAATCTTTCAACTTTAAAATGAAAATGTGCAAGTTTTGAGCACATACTGGTCTAGCTTGAAAAAAAAAACGTATGAAATGCATGTAAGTCTTGGTCAGTCAAGATTATGAACGCGGCCGTGGCCTAGTAAGTACGACGCGCGGCCTTTAACACAAAGGTCATGGGTTTGAATCTCACTTCAGCCAAGGTTGGAGGGGTCCTAGTTTCATCATCCTCCTCGAAAGGGCACGGGCTCCGGCGAAATCGATAAAAACGATCTCCCACGCAAAAGCAAGGCACAAGATAGTATGGAGACAAAATTTTAAAAAAAAATGAAAAATGCTTGTTAAAGAGCTCATTAGCTCATCTGTTGGAACTTTCACTCGTTGATAATCAAACTGCTGTTTCTTTTTTGTTCTTCCAACAGGTGGTATTTTTGTGAACCAGAGATGGCGTGACTTTTGGCTCAACGAAGGCTTCACTCATTTCTTCTCAGGTCAAATTGAGGTAGAAATCCGATAGTTGGGTCCTAAAAATTCAGAAGACTCAAAATAAGTACGGAACTTCGATTTTTCGAAAATCTCGCATAATTTATAATTTATTAGCCTATTTACTCTAAATCAACCTAAAATAGCAATACTCATCGTCCTTGCTTGTTTTATTTATGAAGAAACACCCTACTATCGTATTTTACTCAAATTGAGATCGAAGCCATAAAACGAGGACTTCTTCCTTCATCTATAATTCATCCACTCAAGCTGGAATGGCAGTACGAAAAGTATCTACTAACTCCTTACATAAGTATAATCTGTAGTGATGTTCATGCCTAAAGCTGTCAAAAACACAGGCAAAAATCATGTTGACATAATTTCTATTGGTCATGAAAGTCCAAACAAACATAAGGAGCTCCATTAGCTGTGCAAGCAGCACAGAATCATCCAACCAAACGGTAGCAGTGTTTTTCATATACCCGCAACAAAATCGATTAAAAAAAAATAATCGCAAAGTTTTTTTTTTTTCGTTTTAGAAAGACAGAAAATCTAATTTTCCTCCATCAAATCTCCTAAAATTAATTTCAAATCATGACAGATTGTAAGCATGACTGTCTAATTTGAAACATAACTACCAATCATTGATTTAATAATTTTCAGATTGTATTTTGCGAACTAATTTCATATTTTTTATCTTTATTTTCAGTGTACAAACGTGTCGATTTGACTATCTAAAATGGCTGATCTTAAATCGAAGTAATGACACTTCAGACAGAAATTGTGGAGGAAATTTATTTTCGTGTGTTAAAAATTTTCGAAAAAAAAATACAAAACTTTAATTAAGTCCAAAACTTTATTTAGCGCTTCTTTCGAAACAAATCTTTTTAAAAAAGTATCAAGAAGAGGCAACTTTTATTTTCACTAGGTACATTTCAGACGACGCACGAAAAAAGACATCACGTTAAAAAAGTGGTTTTTCTAATTGATGTGGTCAACTTTTTTTGATCCCTGTTACCCTGTTTACTGTGTAGCAGTTTACCAAAGAAAAAATTTGTTTTTTGCCGTTATAGATACCTTTCAGGGCAGAATTCAAGAAATCATCCTGTTACGAGCAGTCTAATGTCCCGATTTTTGATAATTGCTCTCGGTGTAGTTTTTTCTTCAGACAACTCGAACAGCAATTTTTTTTCGATGTTTTAATACAACCTGAGGATATCGATGAGCTCAAAATCAAAAAGATATTTCGCCTGTTATCAATAAAATTACTGACGAATTTTTAGAAATTCATACTTCCGATTATTCCTAATTTAAAAAATATTTTGTTGGGCTCAGAGAAAAATTATCCTATTTTAAAAAATATTTTTGTTAGGCTTAGACAAAAATTATAAATTAGTGGGATTAGATAGAAACAAATAGTTTCGTGTGATTTAAATTTTGTGGAATTATAAGGCGATATAGTCGTGAACTTTAGAGGCGATATGGTCGTGATAAAGAAAATTTTATGAGTGATACTTTTCTGATAAAACTAACTCAATTTGCGAAAACTGGATATATTGATAAAGTTTTTATTTCTGTAGGGAATCGGAAAGTTAAAAACCAAAAAAAAAGAAGTCGCTCACGTTTCTTTACACTTATGACGACTTTTACACTTAAGCTGTTCGATAAATGAGTTTGCCTTCCTTTTGACAAAAGAAATGAACTCGAACATTGAGTCAAATCGCGAAAAATCAAAATTGAGCGTGAACAAACTCCAAGAGTTTGCCTGAAAAAAACCATCACGACCTATGTAAATGTCTTCACTACGTTCATCGATTCTTAATAAAATATGTTGCTTAAATTGGTTACATTTTCGGCCAATATTTCTCAATATAATCTATTGTATTCGAGAAATTTCGGTGCGTGACACTTGATCCCCTTCCAATTTTTTTTGAGCTCGGAGCAACACTTGCGATACAGAAATGCTTCGCATCAATTGCGATACAAAAACGCATGACAATGATTTCCAGCAAATAAAAAATAGAAAAAACCTTCAAAAAACCAAAAATCATTTTTTGAATCAAAGAAGTACACACTGCAAAAAAGGACAAAAAGTTCCAGAAACAAAACTACCTATCCATTAGAAACGTTACAAAGAGCTTACACGAAGGTCTGAAATATTCGACTAAAAACAGGTCGCGACTGAAATCAAACTTCTGGGATTTGTCGTCTCAAGCATGGGTGATACCCCTGCACTAAATGCACAGAACAACCCTTGAAATTATAAAGAAAACAACTTTCAAAAATTTTTATCGAACAGCATGAAAAAAATCTAACATTAGCTAAAAAATAGCCAAAACTTATTGGAACTTAATTACTTGCCCAAAACCGGAATACACTGAAAAGCTTTTTTAATTAGAAAAAAAAAGCTCAAACTTCAGGCAAAATTTAGTGCTGCGCTAACTAAGCCGACAAAAATCAATAACGATAGAAAAGGAGAACCCTTATGCCAAAAATACTACCACCATCATTAGAACAACAAGCAGACGAGCATAGCTCTTTTATTTAACGGAAGAGACCTAGTTAAAATATTTAAATCCCCTCGAGAAAATCCGATTTGCCCCGCTTTGTTATACAGACACAGAGGCAAAACGGAGCTTCGCATCACTTGCGATACAAAAATGTATGACTATGATTACAAGCAAATAAAAAGACAATTCAAAAATTGAAAAAAAAAACCTTCAAAAAATCGTTTTTTTTTATCAAAAAAAGTTACAAAAATAGCAGAAACAGGCAAAAAATTCCCAAAACACCTTTACCTACCCATTAGAAACGTTAAAAAGAGCTTTCAAAATACTAAAAAGAAACCGATCCTTTCTGCGGGACCTAACCTGACTAAAATTAGCAAACACGAAAGTCTGAAATATTCGAAAACTTTGTTTCGATAAAAAAAACACGCCGCGACAGAAATCAAACTTCTTGGATTTGCCGTCTCAAGCATTGGTGTTTTCCCTGCACTAAATGCACAGAACACTCGTTGAAATTATAAAGAAAAACTTTCAAAAATTTAAAGATAAGCATGAAAAAAATCAAAATTAGCTTAAAAAAATAGCCAAAACTTCTTGGAACTCAATTACTTGCCCAAAACCGGAACGCACTTGAAAACACGTTAAAAATGCTCAAATTTTAGGCAAATTTCGTGCTGCGGTAACTATGCTGACAAATAAAAAGCAAAAAAAAGAAGTCCGATAAATATATTTTTTTGTCACGCAGAGATGTTCCGCTTACAAATATAAGGTCCTGGCCGAACTCGAACAATTGACCTTTGTCTTTATAGGCAGGTGCGTCACCTCTTCGTTAAAATGATTCAAGTGATTCTGTTAAGCTAGTTGTTAACCCGAAAAAAGTCTACATTCCGGTTTGATAACGCTTGCTAAGCAAACTAATCTCGCAATTTAACAACTTTATGCGCTGCCACAATTGACAGGCTATCTATCATTAAATACGGTAAATCAACCTTATGCATTGATTTTTTTTGTCATTTTCCAATGCATTGAACATCACTGAAAAGGCCAGATGAAAGCCGCCAGCGGCATCCCAGCTTTCGTTTCTGCATTTGAGTACAAAGTCGGAAACCTCATATCTATGCTCTATTCCGCAACCGGCCAAAACTTGTGGACTTGTCTGGGTGTTATCATGAACAAATATCCGTTCAGTTCCCTAACTGCCGAATTATTTACCGAAGAACTTACTAAATGTCCTCAGATAAGCTTCGACGTCACTGAATTCATGCAATACTGGCTACATGAAGAGCTTTTACCAATTTTGAAACTGGAGGTTGATTCGAGTAAGCAAATCGCCAAATTCAGTTACACTTTTCATTGCGACGTCGTCGAGATGAACCAATCAAGCTCAAACTGCTTGCCGAAAAAATATGCACCTCAATTCGCCGTGAAATTCCATAATGTTAATCAGAAAGAACTTCAGAAAGTCGAAATCATAACGGACAAATACAATGAAATTGAGTTCACATTTTCACTAGAGGAACATCAAATATTACTTGTCAATGCCTTCGAAGGTAGAAACTTTTTGGTTCAATATCCGGAAGTTTGTTACGAAAATTTTTTCAAATGGGTTCAATCTGACACGTTTACCAATTCTACAGAAGAACGGAAATACTTGGAAATATACATTCTGGACATATTCCATATTTCGGTTCGTGGTTTGATCAGTTTTGATTGGCTGGTTAAAATTTTAAACAGCCAATCACTGCTTAAACAGAAGGGATTATTGGGCGACCAAGGTGTTTTTCAATAGTACTTCCCATTTTCTTTTTTCGAGGATGCACTATAGGAGACGCCAAGTTGCTTGAATACCCTTGATTAAATCAACAGCCACTGAAAAAAAATTCTTTTTGATAAGAATGAGTTAAGACAAAAATTAGGGAGGACTTATGAAAAACACCCTCAGGTAATCACGAGCTGAACTTTTTCCTGACTTGCGTGGACTACTTTTTCTTTCAAACTCTATCAGGCGATGACTTGAAGTATGTAGAGTATTCGTGCAAATGGAGACCATGGTTCCAGCTTGAATCGCCCAGAGGGTAAAACGACCTTGTAAAATAGTGTTTACGATGTATATAGCTAAACCTCAAAACCAAATAGTGTTGGTAACTGTGCATGTCCAATTATAAGCTAAATTCACACAATCCTGAAAACATTGAATTGATTTTGAATCCAATTTCATTTCTCTTAGTTCAAAATTTGAAATTGGGGGGGGGGGGCTTTAAAAAGACTTTAAAACTTTTTTACACAGAGGCACAGCTGCAACTTCGCAAAGTTTGGATGCATATAAGCTTTAAAATGCACAATATAAAACTTTGCATGCAATAATTGTTCCGACTTTCGATACGAAAGTAACGGAATATTTGTGCTCGGGGTGAGTCTTTTTTTCTTCAGACAAGTTTCGACTTTTTAACTAACCATTTTTGACGGAGTTTTTTTACATCATTCGAAAGCTACTGTTGTCTTGAGCTTAAATTTGAAAAAATATTTCACCTGTGATCAGTTTTCGTAAAGTTATGAGGGTTCAAAGATTGCCATTTTGGCCAATTTGGGACAATTAACGCGCGACATACTTCGCGCTATTAACGCGTAAGCGAGATTTAATCCGTCTTAGAAAACGTTCCAAATTGGTTCAAGGAAGCTTATATGCCATAATTGATTTGTTAATAGGAGCAAAATCTATCACTTTGTACTTAATATGGCATGTGGGGGGATGTTTTCACAAAAAATCTCAAACTTTTTAGAAAAAAAATTTTAATTTTACTTAATTACATTTAAATTTTCCATGTTATTACTGCTCCATAGACCTTAAAAGGCAGTCGGAACATTCAGGGCTGCGCCCTGCTACGAGTAGTCTTGTTTAAAATTTAAAAACTAAAGGCTACCATACTAATTTTGCATATAATAATTTAGATTATGTCAAACCAAATTGCGTATAAATTATGAATTTCAAAAATCTTGCTAAATATATATTGAAATGGGATTTTAATTATCATACTGTTGTATGAAACGGATTGCTTTTTACATTTCAATTGCTGATTTGAAGCATCAACTGTTAACTTGATACCAATCAAATGTTAAAGCACATGTTATTATACAGCTAATGCAGCACACTGATTCAAAAGCGCCACCAAAAATAGTACTGAAATTTGCTATTTATTTTGGGGAAAAAAGTTGCATCTTACTAAAATACGAATGCCGATTTGAATTATAAGGACAAAACGAAAAAATTTGACAATTAAAACACGGTTTTTCTCAAATTGGGTTGAATTTAGACAAAACTGATCAACACAAACCTTGTTAAGAGTTTTCGCAGAGCAAATATGGTGCTAATTATTTTGCAAATCTCGGGTCTAAAATTTAACCCCTGAAACGACCATTTTTCTTACGAAACGACCTTTCAAGTCAATCAAAACTTACGCCAGATCTACTGGTTTAATTACTGAAAAAGTTCTCATAATGAGCATCCTATGTAACCCAAGAAAAGTCAAGAGGGGTATAATCTTCAAATTTTTTTGTATCAATAAATTTATTTTCATCGAATAGCCATAAATTACCATAAAATACGAACTTTTTATTTGTTGTTTTTGATGGGCTACATAAGAGGCTCACTGTGATATAACTTTGTCAGTAATGAAAGCAATAGTTGTGGCGTAATTTCGGCTGGTTGACTACAAAAACCAAAATTGTAGTTTTTTCGGGTACAATGTTGGACCCGAGTTTTGCATCATTTTAAATCTACTAAAATTCAAAGCAAATTTTGTCTTCAGAAGTACTGATCTAAATTTAACCCAACTTGAGAAAAACAAATTTTAGTTTTCAAGTTTTATTTGTTTTGTCCGGATAATTTAAATCAGCACTGTACACTCCACACGTGTAAACTGTAAATATAACGGTGAAAAGGGGTGTGTTATTCAATTTTTTAACTTTTTACGCTTTCGGACTAATGAAAACTGCTACTCTCCTCGTTAATCAGTTTTTCCATCTAGAACTCTTGATTGGTTTTACAGACCTATTTTTGCTTTCTTGTCTGTTTATGCTGGTAAACCTAGCTTAATAATACAGAAATTTCATTTTCTGCATAATTCTAGTAAATTTGCTGGTAACACATAGTATTTCTCCGCTTCATTCCTATCCATTCCTAACTAGGAAAAACTGCTCTTAGCAATTACTAACTGGAAATTACTCAATTTATGCGTTTCTTACTGAAACTGAATGAATCATTTAGACCGAAATCACATCTAGTGAGCCAAACAAATATCCATGTTCCACTTAAAGAGATACACGATTTTCACCGACAATCTTGTTTTAGGCTATGGAGTCAAGACTGCGAAAAGAAAAAGGAACTGATCAGGACGCACAATAAAACCCCTAGAGAAAATTGTGCCAGTTGGATACATTTGTTTGCAGATGACTTCAAGAAGAGTCTGCGAAAACTTCCTCCAATCGAGTGAGAGAAGAACATATTTTGTTCGTCACCCGAAAATATAATTTTAGTGGAAAGAACAAACCGTTAAAATAAAGCTTCTATGCGCTATCTTGATGAAATAACAAACATTTCAGACATCTTCAAAAACACGACTGCTCATTTCACTGCAACAAATAACAAAAGATCTAGAAAAAGAACAATGTTTTCTCTAAAATTTTACCTTCTCAAGTATTGCATAGAAATAAAAGAGTTATTTAACGGAAGAGTTCTTTACTTTTTAATCGGAATCAGAAACTTCGTACCAAATCTTCTGATGGGGAATTCACCAATTAATTTAGAAAAAGAAGTCCATTCTTGCCCACGAAATCAAAATCGAGCCACATAATGAACAACCTCTGAATGAACTTCAAAGATTTACCAATCAATTCAAACTAACTTCGTTAAGTTATGTGAAATTGTAAAAAGTTGACATTATCACTGGGTACAGAAGCAAGGGGCAAATTGATGGTAAAATGGCGTGCGCTGATCTTGTAGGAAATTCTCGACTACAATAGTTCTTGATGTTCCTAAATCAACCATCGTTCCTTTTTTCCGAGTTATTTTAGGGTCGATTAGACCATAAAATATCAGCAACCCAATTCGAAGAACAAAGAAAAACGGAAAAGGACGCGTTTTAACATTTGAAAATCCAAAAAGTGACTTTTCCGAGGACGATAACTTTTTCAGTAGAAAAATTGTGAGTGGGTGCTAACACACGGGAGCTTCCTACTACCCGTTATCTCCATTGAACCCACAACCTCAGAAATCAAAAACGGTAAAAAAATCAAAAACTTGACAATACCGAGGGCCATATTTTTAGGTGTAAAAAAGTTTGGGCGTAGTCGTTTATGGAGGGAAGCTTTTCAAATCCGTTCTTTTCATTGAAACCAAAATTTCAGATTTGGTAGGTTAGTTTTTGAGAAAACGAAAAAAAAATCAAAAATAACCACCAAATATCCCCCTACAGACATTTCCAAAGGCTTAGATAAAAGTGTAAAGAAGAGAACAGGGAATTATGCCGGCACACAAGAACAAATGCGGTCTTTCTATGAATACCCTTTAAACTATATATTTTTTTGCAAACAAAAAGTAAATTTTCCAAAGCGTCTCAAAAAACTAAAACCACTTATGGAGGGGAGCCTTTCCAGTCCTCACAATTCATTAACATCTCAGATTTATTGGGTTAGATTTTGAGAAAACGAAAAAAGTCAAAACTATCGGTCAAAAATTCCCCCGTAGATTTTTCTGAGGCTGTAGACAAAAAGGAAACGCGAAAAAGGGAGTTTACAGGCACACAAGGGTATAGGCTGTTTTTCTATGGATACTCTTTTTTCAAAATCGGTAGAAGAGTTTTGGAGAAAGATTGGAATTTTTTTTTGCATGAAGCGAAACAATTTTGCAAAGCCACTCAAAAAACCCAATCCCAAACATTTTCAAAAAACCAATTTTTATCAAACAGGAATTCTAAGCAAACATGCTTAGCAAGACATGTCAAATTCAAATTAGCAACTGAACGAAACTTAAGAAGCGTAAAGACACCAGTTCAGCCAAAAAAAAAAGAACCGATTTTGTTTAGAAAAAAAAACTGTAAAAATTATAAGTTCCTCTGAAACTGCCCTAAAGAAACAAGCACCCACCCAGTAGTTAAATTTGAATTTTCATGAAATGCATGGCAGCATCATAAGAGATAGCAGCATTATATGTGATTCATCTGATTTTGTTAAACTAGTTGTCAACCGTAAAAATACTCTACATTCCGAATTGATAACGCTTGCTAATCGCAAACGTAATAAACATTTACCGAGCGGCAACTGAGCCTACAACACCTGAGCAAGCGATCGTTGAGCTGAGAGCAAAAAATATATTGTCAGGAATACGTTTCAGCTACAAAATTCCGAAATTGTGAAAATTTTCCCCCTCCCACCCCAGAAACACGCAAAAAGAAAGAATCATTTCCCACGTTCCAAAAAAGCAAAATTAGGGCACTTAACCACTAAAACATTACCACAAACCCTTCAAGCCAAATGAGACTTTCAAGCGAGAACAAAAACTAAAAAAGAAATTATACAAAATCAGAGTTAATAAAATTACCAAATACAATTTACCAAAAATAATCAAAACCACTTTCAATGGCGACGAAAAACGCCTTAGAGCACAAAAAAATGGTGACGTGTCAATTACACCGATAAAACAAGAAGAGAAAAGAAAGGCAGATAATTTTTTGAAACTCACATTTTCAGTTTAACAGAAACAGATTCTGACCGGATTCAAACTTTGGAAATTTTGAAATTACTACGCAGAGGCGAAGGCGAGCTTCGCAACACTTGCGTTACAATACAAAACAGCCACTTAATTGAAAAAAATTAGAAATGCCGATATCTATCGAAAAAAAAGCAAAAAAGTATCAAAAACTCAAACCAAGACAATAGAAGGTACAAACGAATCAGAAGAAAACTATTCGATCTGTAAGCGAGCGAAAATACTTGAGGAAACCCTTTAAGCCGAAAAAACTTGAAAACGAATAAAACTTCCCCATTCCCATCAATACACACAATCACATGGAAATCTTTTTTGGCTCTTCGGAGGACGAAACAGAGGCCATAAGCCGATATAAAATAGGCCGAAACTTATCAACCCGAGAAACAAAAACAAAAAAATTAATAAGACTTAAAAACTTTTAAAAAAACGTTAAAGCCCCCATCCACTTCAACACACACGCCCATTTTTTTGCTCAAAACGACAAAATATGAGGCCAATAAGCCGATATAAAAAAGACCGAAACTTTTTAAACCAAGAAAAAAGAACACTAAGAATAAAAAAAGGAAAATTAAACAGAAAAAGACTCAAGAACTGGACGCAGTTTTAAAGGACGTTATCGAAGGACGCAGTATGAAGTCAATAAGCCGTTATGATTCATGTCGAAACTTATTTAATAGGGAAAAAAAGAAAAGAAAATTTTTTTTTAATGAAATAAAAAAAAAATGGTAAAATTACGAACCTAAAAAGCAAATTCGAATAGGACGGATATTCAAAATGCTAACATGCTCAAAATATGTCTGTTGCAGTTTCCAACAGAGAGACGACAGCTGCAGTTCAAAGAGCAACGTGCTGAAAAAGGAGCGCTTGAAATTGAAGATCATCCTGTGGACAAAGTTGTTTACGGTAAAAAGTCTAGTAAACGATTGTAATACCCTTGCTAATAGCGAGGGTAATCAATAAAGCTGTCAAATAATTTAAATGATTTTATCATACTAGCCTTAAAAAGTCTTAGTACTAATTTGATAACGCCTGCTTTTTGCAAGCGTAAAAATGCGGCATGCCAATTAAGAATTATCAAATCTCGAAAAAAATGAGCATTAAAATATTGATTTAGAAAGGCCAAATTATTCTGAAAAAAAACTAACTTAACGGAAGCCTCGCCAGCTCTGGACGAGGCACTGATTTCATATGCAGATGACTCAAAATCAATTAACAGAACGCTTTGACACCTACTGCTTTGCCCATGAATTTAAACCATTGAAATTAAATTTAATGACCAAAAAATGCATTTTTCTGATCTAATCTAAATCCTTATCTGCAACACTGTGACGTCACTTACTCCTCCTTCATTAGCCAGAATATTAGCCACACCCACTGGATGATTTATATACGGTGTCTTCTCTGCATCTTTCCTTCTTTGAGCAGCGTGCTTCTTAGCTGCAAAATCAACTGTCTTTATCAACAATTTAACTTGCTCACCTTCGGATACAGCAGCACTCATTATTGGATCTGAAAGCGCGTGCAGTGAAATTTCAAATAGCTCCAAATGGGAATATCGATTTTGGTCCTTTCTTCCGTCACTATTATAACACAATAATGATAAAAACAACAATAACACAATAGCTAAATTATATAGATGACCAATATACTGACCCTCAAAGAAGTCCTCCAATTCTATTTTGTTTTCCGATCAGCCCATCTTTACAAACAGCCATTGCTGAACGGCAAATATGAGTTAGAAATGATCTTGATCTCTCACCCAATTTAATATTTATACTTCATGTTGACATAACTAAGAAGGACTGCCAGGCTGGCAAGAACTCAGTTAATGTGAACTTTGATTCACTTTACAAATACATGGTTCACCAGAAAGTCTGTCTTCAACGTTTCTATCACGGTTTTCGTGACCTTGCACTTTTGCTGCTCGATAGTGGAGTTTGCCTAAAACGCAGTGGGCTCGCAAATCTCAAACAACACCATAGAAACCTTTACTGCGCTACCTGTACAAACAACCATATCCTGCCCCTCCCTGTAAGCGATGCGCCTAAAAGTCCAATCAACATTGAGACTACTAATTTCGCCACCCTAGTAACAACTCCGCCTAACGATCCTAACACTTACCCGCAAAACCATAGCGCAACTAGTACTACTATCTAACATTCCCCCGCCCTTGCCAAATCCTCTCGATAACCAACCCCAATCTACAAAATATCCCTTCTACACTGCCCTCAAACAGCACTTAACTTATTTAACTGTCCCCGAAATAGGACCAACCTGACCCCAATAGACTTGTGCTTTCGGCCGACGGCGGACTCCTTGGCGTTCCTTGGACTCAGCGAGAACATGCCGGACGCGCCTTAAACAACGGGCTGATAACAATCATAACAGCATAGTGGAGTTTGCTGATGATGATGATGAAAATGGTAAAAAAAATCAAATTTGAGCTCGAACAAAGAATTTTCCCTGAAAAAAAGGCAAAAAATCATCAAGACCTATATAAGAGTCTTTACTACGTTCATTAACTCCTAATAAAACCAAAACAGAAAACAAAATCGAAGCTGGTATCTAACACGCAGGAAAACAAATTTCAATTCTTTGAAGGTAATAAAAGTTGCATTTACCTTGACTATAAACAACTACTGATGACCTAGATATTGAAGCCACTTTTTGACCGTTTCTCTCTATAACACATGGGCGAGCAACTAAGTCTCGATTTCGACATGGTATTTTTTAAGTAATGAAAGTTTGAAAATAATTGTCCATAGCAACCGCACAAATTCTTGAAAACAACAGCCCTCAACGAGTGATATTCGATGCAATAGTTTCTAGAAAAAGCTGTGCAGCAAATTTTCCTAAATGTTTATGGCTAAATCTGCCCCTGATTAAGGTGCCTCAAATTAGAAGCTCGTGGTCAAGACTCAGCGGCCATGATTATGTTGTCACAATAGCTGCAAGATTTCAGGCTTCACCGAAAGTTTTTAGGCCAAAATATCGTAGCGTCCAAATACCACATTCAGCTGTAGCAAGGAGGCACGATTCTTTTACGCGCAAATGATGCTATGAATGCTAGAATACTCCACCTACTGCATAAAATGAACCGATAAAAAAGTAGCACTGGCCGCAATGGAAAGAAGGGAAGCACCTCGATCATCAATTAAACCAAATTTATTTCAAAACATGGAGCTTCTAAGAATTAATTAATTTAATAAAGACGGATCTGATATTTGAATAACAACAACTGAAACAATAAATGTCACGCATAACAGAATAAAATAACAAAGATAATATCACCAAGTTGTACAAAACTTTTTTACAAAACTGATCAGGAATATTACATGGAAATACAGAAAGTTTATCAATTATAGAGAGTTGCAAAAAGTTCGGACAGACAGAAACAATCAAAAAGAGCAATCGTCCCATTTTTACAGATTTTTGGATGCTATTTCGTTCTTTCAGACAACCTTGCGCAACAAATTTGGTCTGATAATTCAAATTTTAAGTGCAAATTTTTCCCAAAATAGATCAATTGCTCTTTTTATTTGTCTGTCCGAAGTTTTTGCTACTAATTATAAACGTTGAATTGAAGTACAACCTGAGACTTATATCTGATCCAGTTTTATTAGAATTAAATTTTAAAAACTCATCGGACGTCTTAAGCTTTAGAATTAATTATGATCTTGAGACAGTGTACTAGAGCTTAAGTTGCAACCCTATTTTCATTATTGCATTTGAACTGTCAAAAGAGCAAACCAAAATGATTGCTCTTTCTCAGAGGTATTTCTTTTTTGAATTTAACATGAAAATAATTTAAATTCAGCAGCAATCTGACCTGCAATTTTTCAATCGAAATGCCGACAAAAAGGCAAACGCTTAACTTCGAAAAAAAAAACATTTCTAATTGGTTTCAGCTTGAAGGTCATGAATATTTCAAAAAGTTGGGACGTTGTCCAATAAATTTGTTATAAAAGTAGGTCAAACGAAACAGACGTAGCCTAACTCAAACTCGCACAAAAAAGATTATCTTGGAGCAGAATTGGAATTTCCGGTTTTCTTAAACTATATCAGCTAAAGTTTTCTTAAACTATATCAGCTAAGATTAAAAATCTATTTTTGATTCAAAACTAGAAACTGAATTCAAATAAGAAAACTTTAAGCTTTAATTACTAGTATGCTTTAATTACTAATCACGTTGATCTTTATTTCAGTATAGAGTCCGTTTTTGGACCATCAAAGGAACCTCAAAAACTTTATCTAAACTGATCGAGATCTGCAAAAATTATAGTTTCGTTTGGTAGGCTCGAAAATTGGAATTGATAATTTTCCAGTGCTCGAAGTCTGTACCGATTCCACAATTGAACATTGACTATTCTTTGCTTTAAAACTGTTTTTTCGTTCTCGATGTTGCAAGTGGAGCAATTAAATGAAGAAGCACTTCTTGTCAGTTAGATTATATCCTCTGGGACAAAAAAGGTACTTCACATTATTTTAAATTAATATCTTAAAACTTATTGTAAAAAGTTACCCGACAAACACAATTTTTCAGCATAATCAATGATTTTATACGCCAAATAACCGCGTGCTGCAACAAAGTGTGAAAAATCCCATTTTGCTCAAAAGCTAATTGATTGGTTTCCAAAAAGTTTCATCTATGCGAAACTTAAATACTAGCGCGTAACGCACCTCCGGTACTCATAATGACCACATATATTAGAATTAAGATCAGCATTCTTTGAGTGTACTCTGACAGCACCCAATTACAGGGTTCGTAATTACAAATTTTGCAAAGTTTTTTATTCAAGTTTTTTATGCAAATTGTGAAGTACTTGTGAAGTAATTGTGAAAAAAGTAAAAACTACCTAAAAAACGTCATATCTGGGAAACTTAAAGCAATTGAGCAGTCGCATTTGGATGCAAGATTTGCAACTCCTGAGAAAACTTTTCAGTACCCAAGTACAGCGTTGTGAAATTCAAATTTTGAGAAACTTCAACCTTAAGTTTTCTAAAAAAAAAAAGAATTTTTTTTTTAAAACGAGAAAAAATGTCACATCTCAAAAACTACTGAGATTTCAGCAGTCTTATTTGAAGGCAATATTCGCAATCTTTGACAGTACTCTGGCAGCACACAACTACAGGGTTGGGAATTTTACTTTTTTGAATTATTTTGTAATGCGTTTTCTAAAAATTTCCGAGAAAATCACATAAATCCTCGTTTCTCCTTATTAAAAAGATTTGGCCATTCTTAATTGGAGGCCGAACTCGCAACCCCTGAGATTGCTCTGACAGCCCCCAACTACAGGTTACGAATTTCAAATTTTTAAAAATAATTAAATTTAATTTTCATGAAAATTTTTTGAGAAAATCCTAAAAATTGTCATTTATCGAAAAATACAAAGATTTCAGCAGCATATTCAGAGGTAAGTTTCGCAACCCCCTGAGAGTACCCTCACAAATTCCAACAACAGGATTGAGATCTTCTAAGTTTTTGAATTTTTCAACATCTAAATTTTTTTTGAAAATTTTCGAAAATATCCTAAAAAACGTCATATCTCCGAAACTACAAGGATTTGAGCAGATATATTCACAGGCACGATTCGCAACCCCTGAGAGTTCCCTCACAATTTCCAACAACATGATTGAGATCTTCAAAGATATGTAATTTTTTTAAGTCTAAGTTTTTTCAAAATTTTTGAATAATAATAAAAAAATGTCATATTTGGAGTCAGGCTCCTGAGAGTACCCTGGTATAGCCTCACTTCAGAGATGACTTATTCAAGTTTTGTGAAATTTTTTATATCTAAGTTCTCTAAAAAATTTTGAGAAAATCCTAAGGAACGCCATATCTCCGAAACTACAAGAATTTGAGCAGCCATATTCAGAGGCTAGATTCGCAACCCCCTGAGATTACCCTCACAGATTCCAATAACAGGATTGAGAGCTTCAAAGTTTCGGAATTTTTTAACATCCAAGTTTTTTTGATAGATAGATAGATAATAGATGAAAATTAAAAAATTAGGAGATGGGTAGACAGGCATAATGAAATAAATTAAAAAGGCAGGTTTACAGACAGACAGACTTAATTTGGCCTCGAAAAAAAATTCTTTCGTTGAACATGCAAAAGTATTATGCTTAACATGAGAGATAGCTGTCACTTGCATTTAAATATAGTATAGATAGGTAGATAACTAACATGATATTTGGTACCATTTGTATCACTGAGAAAATGTTATGTTACACAAGCAAGCTTACAGTTCTTAAGTAACTATGTTGACGACTTTCTACTTTCTAAACATCACTTAAATAGATTCATATCATGGACTCATTTGCTTTAGCTAAAAAACAGTCAAAAATTTCCGGTATCAGAAAACAGGGCAACAGCTTGAGGACTAAATTGTTTGAACCCTGTTTTAACTAGTTTGCCTTACATACGCAAACTTTCACTTTGTTATTGATGCCTATTAATTGCTATAAAAATAGCAATCAAACAAAGACACAGCAATTTGATGCTTGGAGAACAATTTCAAGCAAGCAAAAAAAAACGTCATAAGAGGGGGTAAGTGAGATCATATCGTGTAGGGCATTACTTTTGAAGATCCCACTAAACCGCCTCAGAGGGTAACAAAATATCAAAATAACACATAGGACATGCAATTCTTAACCTGAGAATAGTAGATAATCTTTTCTCAAGACATGAAACTAACTTTTAAGTTCGAAACTCGGAAAACAAGAGGAAACATAAATTAGGGCGTTTTGATGATTTTGTGAGATGTCATTTTTTCGAGATTTTTTGATCGAATTTGGAGGGAAAATTCCCCTAAAACACCCCTAAAAATCTTGCACATAGTGCCTAGCAACTATTTCAAAAAAATTTCTGAGGTTGAAAAGGCTCCTTACTAACGCTTGGTTTCGAAAAAAATCGTGATTTTTGGGGATTTTTGCTGTTTCTTGTTAAATATTTGGTCTTCTGGAGCCACTGGGTGCACCAATACTACCTCTTTTTTGGCTAAAACAGTGTCGCTGCTTAGTTTTGACCTGAGGGTAGTAGCAATAACTAGTGTTGATTACTTTCTTGGTGCATTGCCTTCAGTTAAACAAAAAACTCAGTCTTGAGAAATTTTTTTTCTTTTTTTTTTTTTATAATTGGTAGTTTTATACCCATATAGGGTTCATTATAGCTGTTTTGACAGATACTATTATATGCAGAATATTGAATTCACTACTAGACAATCACTGTGAAAATTTATTTATGAAGAACTTTCGCGGTGTCGATGTATAGAAAAAATTACGGTTTCAAGAAAGATTAACCATTTTTTATTATTTCACTTTTCTAATCCACTATGATTTAGTATATTCTTTTCCCTGCTATTTTTGATCCTATTGGCGTTGTGGACTAATACTTTAGACAGTAAATTAAATCTTTTAACAATAATTCTTTCGTGTTAGGCTGACATAAGTTTGAAAAAAGGACAAATTCAGAAAAAAAAAATTCGTTCAACTAAGCTCCCAAAAAGGTTTTAATTGTCAACATTGGCCCTTTATGACCTTGAAATGGTTTCTTTAAATGGTTGGCGTCAATTGAAGCAATCATTTAGGGAGGAATATTTTCTGCTGGGTCGAAGTTTGTGGAAATTCACGATTTTACTAGAAGATGTCTAATTTTGTAAGTTTCAATTGTTAATAGTTTATTAAGGTTGTATATGGTTTCAATTGACCTCATATGAGCCTCATTTTGTTTCGGACAAAAGAAAGTTTAAATTAGTAAATTAAACTTTTAAAGAGAAATATATCGTTAGGTTCACATATTTATACAAAAAAAAGACAACTTTAAGAAAAAGGTTTTTTTTTCGACAGTTTTGCTCATCTAAGCTCCTAAAAACAATTGCAATTGCCAAAATTGACTCTTCCGTGCCTTGAACTGGTTTTTAAAATTGGTTGGCGTCAATTTACACAATCAATTATAGAGGAAATTTTTTTGCTGTGTCGAAGTTCGTGGAAATTTACTTATTTACCAGAAGACATTTAATATCAAACTTATTAAATGGTGTTTTTCATGTTAAATGTCTGTAATCCTGTGTGGAAGGCCCTCAATGGAGGGATTTTAGAGACAAGATTCTGAATGTCTTTTGCAAGTAGAACACAAAATAGCAAACGATCCAGATACCATATCTTCAAGACTTCTCCAACCAGACAACTCCTAATTGCTGATTCCCAGGCCAGACATCTTCGAGCAGGAAACTTGAACGTCTAGTCACTACCCGGTGCCAGTGTATGTCTATTTTACAATTATCTGCCTCCTCATAATCTGTTCGACCTCGTCATTCTTTTTGTCGGAGGAAACGATCTGTGTAACTACACCCGACCGACTTAAACCCCAGCTATCCAAGTAGCCGACGACATTGCTGACTTAGCAAATTTCCTTCGTGAACGAGCTTCCAACGTATTCGTCATCGGTGTACCGGAGCGTGACGAAAACAAAACGAGATCAAAATCTGTAAACGATTAACTTCTCACCAAGCCGAAAGGAAATCTAACAAGGTCGAGGTCAAGTGGAAATTCAGAAACGTTGCGAATTTTATTACGGGTATCAGATATTTTACGAACGATCACTACCATCTAAACAAAGATGGTCTGAACAACCTGAAAAATCTCATCAAGTGGAAAATTCTGTATAAAAAGTACTCGAAGCATTTGAACGACAACGGACACCTTACTGAAAAAGAGTGCCCCACCAATAACTGTCAGTGCACCTGCAGAAACTGGTAGCTCAGGTATACATCAATCTTTTCTTTTGTTTCTATCCTTATCTTAAAGTGTCCGTTACAGACTAACTTAATCTACCAAAGGTCCCTTCAGGGGCTCACAGGTAGAATTTGTTAGATGTCTCCTCTGGTCTCCTCAGGGGCCAACGGCTAAGTTTAAATCAATATGTGTTTAAGTTCTCCACCCCAATTCTAACGAACTGCCCCAATTGCCCCAATCGAACTCAAGCAAGTGGAATGACGCATGATAACTGCGCTACGTGCAACAGGAAAGTTGAAAAGGACAACAAATTCGTTTGTTGCATTTGTAATAAAACACTTCATTCAACAACAGAGTGTACTGAGTTTGAAAAGAATACTATAGAAGTTCTCATAAAACTTAACGACAATCTTATCCACATCTGCAATAGTTGCGAACCGAAAAAAAACGAGATTTTTTGTCAAACTTGGAATCAAAGTTGGAAACAAAAATAGACGAAAATCTGAAAAAGTTTCAAAACGAAACAAATAATCAAATGAAAAAACTTCAGGAACAAATGAAAACCCTAGCCGATAAAATTGAAAAGTCAAATAACATCATTACAAACGTTCAATCGTAAGTCATAAACGTGAAATAAGATACCAAAACATACAAACAATCCTTAGGAAGGGTGATTCTTGGAAAATCAGTTTCAATTCCCGAAAAAACTACGCTAGAAGTATATATACGACGTATACCAGAACCAAGCTCAAGCTCGGCTGATGATAGATTATATGCTGATTTAGCCGAAGTAGAAAAGCTTCTTGAACATCTTAGCGCGTCGAAGATAAAAAACTTATTAAAGCGCAAAGACTCGGTAAATATGACGCAAGTAAACAACAACCAAGAACACTCCTGATAAATACTGAAAACCCAATCAGCCGAGACCTTATACTGAGGGCGGCACACAAGCTTAAAGATTACCATCCCTATCAAAAACCCGTCAATGTAAATCCTGAACTAAATAGTACGGATACCAAAAAGCAAAACGAATGCCTGAAAAAACGTAGAGAGTTAATCGACAGTGATGAAAATCAATTAACCTCGAAAGATATCCGGGTAAAAAATCTCATAATTGAGTTATTGGAAAACAAAAAATGGATACCATTAAAAAAAGCACTTACAGCGATGAGACAAGTGACTCAGAAACCGAAAAATGACTAGCAACAATCTCAATTATGACTTTTAATACTCGAAGCTCAGTAGATATAAACAGTAGAACAAAGTTTTCAATTACGCTAAATACACGCGATTGCGACATTTTATGCTTAAAAGAAACTTGGTTAACTGGTGATATCCCGTCAGTAGCCCTTTTGCTAAGTAGATATCAGGTATATAGAAAAGACCGAATGACAAATGATGATCGTAAAACAAAACATGGTGTTGTACTAATTGCAATCAAAAACGACATTCTTCACGAACATATCTCATTACAAAATGAGCATTCCGATTGTATAACCATCAAAATTAAAGAGATAGCGTAATTTTGCTTTGTTGCATATACAATGCTCCGTACCCAAGTGTCTACCAATGGGAAATTAAGGATTTGAAAACCTTATTAGAAAATATTCAGCTTTAGGCAAACGAGTGTCAATGTAATCTGATCATTCTAATAGGTAACTTAAATCTATCACAAACTAACTGGTTAACTATGTCATCAAATCTTGATTACGAAAAACAAAAAATTGGTGCACTTGTAGAAAGAAACTTCAGTAATCAATCGACTGATCAATTAGAAGTCGTCATAGCCAATAATCCAGATTCCATGGTCAACTGGGAATATGATAATAAAATGATCTAAGGCAAAACGACAAAAGTATTTCCGACCATAAACCAATTGATACAACCATCGACACCGAAAAAAAGGAAACGCAATTTGCAGTAACTGATATAAAACACGCTTTTAACAAGGCTGACTGGGACGAACTTAATAAAAGTATCCTTCAGGAACCCTTTCAACCGTATTGCTATAGCAATGTAGATAAATTGTTAAAGCAATGGTACAAATGGTTGTGGAAGAAAATAGATAAACACATACCAAGAATTACCAAACATAGATTCTAGCTACGCCCTGGATTTCCAATGTTACATCAAATCTTATGAATAAGCTGAAAACAATGAAAAAACGAAGATGTGTAACTCTTAGCAAATTGATTAAACTCAAACGCCTTGAAAAGCAAATCAAACTTGAATCCGAGAAAGACCTCGCTGAATATGAAAAATCAGTATTTGAAGAAAGAACGTTTAGTTAAGTACAGAAATACTTGAAATGTATACGAAAAACAACCTCAATTCCCCCAACAGTAAAAGTTGATAAGACAGTAGCATCAATAAAAGTTGAAATGGCTGAAGTTTTCAATCAAAATTTCGCGTCGGTCTTCAGTAAATCTAATATGCAGCCTGGATATGAACCAAATAACATACTAAACACAGCTAACTACACTGAAGAACAAACAAGCGACATATTGTTTGAACTTAATCCTGACAAATCAACCGGACCCGATAAAATTGGAAACACACTCTTAAAAAAGTGAAAGATCAGTTTTAGTGATTTACACAGGGTTTTGTGACACTTTTTTAAGAGTGTGTTTCCAATTTTATCGGGTCCGGTTGATTCGTCAGGATTAAGTTTAAACAATATGTCGCTTGTTTGTTCTTCAGTGTAGTTAGCTGTGTTTAGTATGTTATTTGGTTCATATCCAGACTGCATATTAGATTTACTGAAGACCGACGCGAAATTTTGATTGAAAACTTCAGCCTTTTCAACTTTTATTGATGCTACTGTCTTATCAACTTTTACTGTTGGGGGAATTGAGGTTGTTTTTCATATACATTTCAAGTATTTCTGTACTTTACTAAACGTTCTTCCTTCAAATACTAATTTTTCATATTCAGCGAGGTCTTTCTCGGATTCAAGTTTGATTTGCTTTTCAAGGCGTTTGAGTTTAATCAACAAGCAATGTTACCCCAGCTACTGGAAAATATGCCAAATAACACCAATATTCAAAGAGGGCAACAAAGCTGATGTAACCTGCTACCGTCCCATCAGCCTCCTATGTTGTTGCTCAAAAGTCTTGAAAAACTCCTTTTTGATAAAATTTATTGTTTCTTTCATTCAAAATTCCACACTAGTCCGTACGGCTTCAGAAAAAGACGATCGGCGACACTGCAACTAATATACTTTCTCGACAAACTATACGAATGCAAGGATCTAGAATCTGTCAATGAGTTAAGTGTTCTTTATCTCGACTTTGCTAAAGCGTTTGACACAGTACCGCATAGTGTGCTAGTTAGCAAATTAAGTTCTCTCGGAAGTGGTGGAAACATCTTAGGACTTCTAAAATCATACTTAAGCCAACGCAAGCAATACGTGCAAATAAGCGGCGCAAAATCAACCCCTAAGAAAAGTAACCAGCGGTGTTCCCCAAGGATCAATTCTGGGTCCCCTCCACTTTCTGCTATTTATTAATGATCTTCCAGAGTGTATGTGCGATATGGACAGTTTCGGGTATGCTGATGATTTCAACGTAATCGTAACGAATCAAGTAGCGATGAACAAGGCGACCGATAACATCCAATCCTATGGCTTAATACAAATATGATATTACCAAACACAAAAATGTCGCACACTCTTAACATCAAAGGAAACCTTGAAGCACACTTATGCAATGCCAAACTGACCCCCGCACAGTCGCAACGTGACCTAGGGCTCATAGTGCAGCAAAACCTAAGTTGGAAGGAAAATTGCAAACGCAGATCGAACAAAGCAATGGGCGCCTTATTCCAAATAAAGCGAAATCTAACATCAAATTGTAACTGGAGAATCAAATTAAATGCATACGCTGGATACGTTGTCCCAATTGCTGTATATGCTTCTCAGACCTGGTTGCCAAATAAAGGAAATTTAACTGAATTCGAAAAAGTTCAACATCATCAGTTAAGCTATCGAAATCGGTTAATTAAATTGCATATTCTTCCGTTAGGCCTGTATGTTGAAACGCATGATCTCTTAATGCTTTTATCTATTAAAACAGGTGAATTTGATGTTGACAGTTCAATTGAAAATGAGACAATATGCGATACTACTCGACAGAGAAATCGAGGTGAATTCAACGAAAACTTCTTCCGAAGGACGAAACTACTCTACAACTACGTTCTTCGTGTTTATGAAAGTTTCCGGAAACTTCTAATTAAGCTACTATTCAGAACATTTACTGGAACTTTTTCACTAAAGAATACACCGAAGAAAATAAATGTACTTAGAGAGTAATATGCAGATGTGGCAACTGCAATCCTAGTAAAATAAAACTGAACTGAAGATGAACTGAAAAATGGGTGAAAACCGTTGAGACTCTCTAAATTCTGTATTATTAAAATTATTATTATTATTATTATTATTATTATTATTACTATTATATTATTATTATTATTATTATGATTATTATTATTATGATTATTATTATTATGATTATTATGATTATTATTATAATGATTATTATTATCATTATTATTATTATTATTATTATTATTATTATTATTATAATTATTATGATTATTATTATTATTATTCTTATTATTATTATGATTATTATGATTATTATTATTAATGTTATTATTATTATTATTATTATTATTATTATTATTATTATGATTATTATTATGATTATTATGATTATTATTATGATTATTATTATTATGATTATTATTATTATGATTATTATTAATGTTATTATTATTATTAATGTTATTATTATTATTATGATTATTATTATGATTATGATTATGATTATTATTATTATGATTATTATTATATCTAATTTTGTAAGTTTCAATTTTTAATACTTTATTAAGGTTGCATATGGATTAAATTGGTCTCATCAAAGCCTCATGTTGTTTCGGACGAAAGTTTATTTCAGTAAAATCAAACTTTAATTGAGAAAAATTTTGTTTGGTTGACATATTTAAAAAAGACAATTTTAGAAAAAAGTTTTTTTTTTACTATTCTGCTCATCTGAGCTCACAAAAAGGTTTCCATTTTCCCAAATTGAACCTTTAGTGACTTGAACTGGTTTTTTATTGGTTAGCGTCAAATGAAACAATGATTTAAGGAAGTCTTTTTTCCGTTTCGAAGATTGTGGAAAATTACGATTTCAAAAGAAAAATCTAATTTTGCAGCTTTCAATTTTTAAGAGCTTATCAAGGTAAAATATTGCTTCAATTGGCCTTGTGTGATCAACACGTTGTTTCGTACGAACGCCTAGCTTAGTATTAACAAATTTTCTTCAATAAAATTTTTTTGTTAGGTTGACATATTTAAAAAAAAGATGTTAAGAAAAATATTTCATAATATGATCATAAACAGATGCAATATTGACCTTATTGGTCCAGTTAGATCCTTGAGTTGGTCTTGAATATTGTTGGAGACAGTCATTTTCTGTCGCTTCCTGAGTTAATTTAGTTTTTTGACGGATTTTGGAGAAGTTTTGTAGTTATTAGGGCATTTGTGGGCTTTTTGGAATTTTGTTGATGAGTTGCAGTTTTGTTGATGATTTTTGAGAAACCTGTGAAAAAGTTCTTTTGGATGATCTTTTGAACAGACACGGTGTGTACTTGATTTGTTTTGGAGAAAAAGTTAGGTTTGGGTCGCTTTTGGGTTCTATTTAGGGTTTTGGCACCAAAGCCGGTAATGAACATTCTCCGCGACTTTAAGAATTTTATTGACCAATTCCTGATAGCAAAACTTGAAACACGAAAAACTCCAGTTTTACGAGAAATAATTGATATGCTGATCTCGAAAGAAAACCGAGCAAATAGAGGACGTCAACACTTGTCGAAAAAGGCATATGGACAATCGTTGCCGAAATCCTAAGACATAACAGAATTGAGAAAACGAACTTTATTGTGGTTGCAGGAAACACCGACGGAGCAAACAGAGTATTGGGATCAAGAAACACTCAGAGAAGTGCTTTTGAACTTAATGACAATAATGCTGCTAAGAAATGCGACACGATTGGGAACCATTTCCTTGTTCCGAACAGAGTATCTAACCCACTCCCACTATAGCCAATCAATGGGTCTGTTCTGCCTTGAAATTGCGCCAGCAGGACTGGAGAGTATCCGCAAAGGACCTGGAGAGCGGAAAAGATTAGCAGAGATGGAAAAACTGAGAATGAAACTCTGAAAAAACTCTTGAATGAAAATTTTTATTGTGAAGGAATCACGTGGCAGGCCGTCAGTGAGGAAGAAATGAAACTCTCGCGTTTGTTTGCAAACTTAAGACAGAAAATGAGTTGTTAGCACCATTTCTTGTTTGCCCTCGTGAATGCTGACAGTTTGGTGTCATCGGAGGATCAGAAGAGTTTTGCGAAAAACTGGTCCCGAACAATCCTTCGGCAGCATGGAATGTACCATTTGGACCTGACGGCCACAAGCTACAGAAAGCTAACGGCTACGAGCTGGACAGTGACCGTGACTGACCCCAAAACCTTGGATGCCTAAACAGAACATACGGGGAACACAGCTGAAACTGCTAGGCGATTTTATGAACTCGAGAGGTCTAAAATGCAAAATCCTGCAATCACGAGTGTATATACTAATAGTACCAGATGAGCCATCAAATGAAGTCGCTGTTTTTACTGGTGGACCCGCGATTGGGAAAGTGACCGAAGAAGACTCCCAGGAAACATCATTTGAGCCCAAAAACCTGCTATCAGTAAAAGATTATGACGCTGAAATCCAAAGCGAAGATGACGAAAAAGATGAGCAAAACAAAAGCAAAGAAGACCTGACAACTGAAGAGATCAACATCATCAGGTTTCTTAAAACCAGAAAATTCAGACCAAATATGGCTAGTTATGTCCTGAGTGAGGATGACAACAAGAAAATTGCAGCTCATTACCTGAGCTCATTACCCCTTTCACTCATCTTGAAGTGTTAAATTTGTTCTGATGAAAAAGACGTTGAGTTACTTCACCTTATATTATGGGCTAAACATTGTTAAGGTGCTGAAAAATCTTCACAACTATACATTTTCTAAGAAGTATTCAAAAACTAGAATAGTCTAGCACCACCTGATTAGACCAATCGATAATTTTGTTAGTCGCATAGCTTGAGATGATACCTCCACCTTTTTCTCTACTCGTACAACCTGTTTGAAATCAGTAACCGATGTGAATTCCAAGTTTGAACGCGCAAATCATTCTCAAGAGGAGTTCACGCACAAACATCAAACCTCGCTGATCGTTCGTGGTGTAATGAAAATTTTGATTGACAAAGCAGGCTCTCCGGCTTACAGATCAAATGGGTCTTACACAAACATTAAACCTCCAATATCTCCTGACATAGTTTTCAAACAAGAGTTCAAATCTGCACGTCGCAAAAAACATTTGAATGTCTGCAGAAAACTGCGCTCCCTATCTTCTGGTTGATTTAAATACCTATTGAAGGCAACCCACTGATGAACATCTCAATGGTGTATTATTTTACTGAAATTATTCTAACTGCCCCCGCTACGGATCAATTAAAATTCATGAAAAAATTTCTTTTAAAACTATTCATGTCAAGTCGGCCCACGACCTCAAGAGACAAATCCAGAGAACTCTTGGAAGACCTTTTTACGGTCGGACATTGACGTAGTAGATTTGGCGGTTTCTGAGTTCCCGTTAAAAAATAGATTTACCAAGGGAAATATATATTAAACAATTTTGATCCGACTGTTCGCATCATCGTCACTCATTTTGAGCAAAGACTTTACTACAAACAGCTTTACTGTAAATAGTACTCATTAACTTTAAATGTTTCTGCAGAAATCATCTCTATACGTGAAGCCTCAAGGAGCATATCTAGGTAACACAAAACAACGTTTCTAAAAAAAACGATTGAGCAAGACGCGTTGACTACAAGAATTCGTTTCATTATGTCCCCATTTCTTAAATTCTTAAAAGCCTTTTATCGAAAAACGACGATGCTGTTAAACAAATTAGCAAATACACCAGTCTACTTCATAAGGAGACGACAGAAAAAAGCCAAGAACCAAGAAGCCAAAAAATTTTTGCAGCGCAAGAAAAACGTCACAGTGCAGTGACGATTGAGAAGACGAGGTTACAAAGAGAAAACGAGGTTTTGGGCGTAAACAATGGCTAGAGCGCCAAAACTAAAATTGGTGAACAAAACCCAGATGTTGCAGAAATCAGATATTTTAAAAATTTCAGAAATTCAGCTTTTTAATTGTAATGCAGTTTGAAACAAATATCTTTTTTCAGTTCATTTGATGAATTTAAAACACATCAACTGTGTTAATTTATAACTAATCGACTGTCAAAGCATATATGCTATCGAAAAGATGTAAAGGTGCAACCAAAAGTGGCAACAATATTTGCGACTTAATTTGAAAAAAATTCCCGTACTAATATACTACGCTCGCTAACGCTCGTTCGTAATGATCTCTAGGTGACTGTTATTGACGCTTACTCAATTAATCAAAAGATGATGATAATTGAAAACTCTATGAACTTCAATAACACTTGAAAAACACTACAGATAGAAAATCAAAGAACTTTAAAAGCACAGCTAATCAATGACAGATACTTAAACTACAGTTATAGTGGAAGATACTTTGTATTTGGCAGAAAATTAAAATTGAAGCTTTCATACACAATGGTTCACTATTTTCATTACTTATTCAATTTATTATCGGAACATCATCTCGAACTTATGACACAAAGCAGTAAAGTCAGCAGCCTTCGATTATTTTGTAAGTCTTAATGCTGAAAGCTCACTTCCTTTTTGCCACAACACAGCTGCCGTTTGCTTGAGTAAAGTAGAATTCCACATCAAGTTTGAGTTGCAATGCAACGAGAAAGAAAACTCGATGTCGAGAGAACACGATAAAAATGACGATGCTGATTGCTGATAATCGAACATAGCGGACAATTTGGTGAATATACGTGACTAAAAGTATCTAGCCGATATCCCGTTGACGGAAAAGCACTAACGAATGTTGTTTTAGAAAATCGGTTGAACCACCATAGAGCAGATTTGTGTGAATAATTTAGATTGAAGACAGTCAAAAGGTAGTTCAGAGTTCAACAGTCGCTCAGCTATGATTCGCGTGTCTCTGTTGTTGTTCTTAGTGTCATGACATATTTAGTTTGTACACATTGAACTGTGACTGGCCCTGCAGAGAAAATGAAGAGAGGTCGAAGAAGAAGGCCAAACATAACAAAACTTCTCCACTCTCCTTCTGCCGAAACACCTACACAGCAAAGCCCAAAAGCACAATCAACACTCGATAGATATTGATGTTGTTAACAATCATCCATAAACACCCTCCCCTACTCTCCCCATGACCATTTTCCTAGTCAATTCTTACAACTCTTGATCAAATTCTTGAACGCAAGAAAAAATGGATTTTCTTATCGTGAGAAACTTGGAGCATGTTACCTGCAAGAGAGTGAAGTTCTCCAGCACCCTGGACATGTACTGTCTGCTGTTGTTGTGGTTGAGCAGTTGGGATCTGAGTTTGCGGAGGAAGGAGTGGAGGAAGTGACAGAGCTGTCTCCTCTCGGCAGTGTACCGAAATAGACTCTCAGTGTACACGGGCAGCTCAAACTAAACGAAACAAAACAAAATAGTACCAATAGACAATTCAGACAATGATAGCCATGCCTCCTAGTCATTCAGTCCATCAAGCCAGTTTTTCTCGACACAATGGCAACTGTTTGATTTTAGGAGTCCGAATCACAACCAACCGAGCCTTAATATGATACCCCGCCTGAACCCTACCGAGCTTACTTTAAGGTATCTAAAATTTGGCAGAAAAATACCCACTCTACCTCAGTTCCTTCCAGTCACTTAAGTGACGTGGTCGGATTTCACGGTCAAAAGTTTAATTGATAAAACTAAACCCAAATTCAGATAATTAGGCTCCCCGTTCACTCCAAGGAACATCTTTAAGAACACTTATTAGCAATTTAACCAAATTTTAGTCCTAAGTACTCGCCAGTTAATTGCTGGTCTCAAAATATTCTCAACTAAGGGATGTACAATTGTGCGTGCCATGAGAAAAATTGAATTGTTTTTCCAAAAACTGTTTTTTAAGAATTTTATGCCGTTGCAAAAGCTTGTTGCAGAAGGTTAAAACTGGCATTTTCAGACCCGCAATAAAGTTCTGATTAAAGGATATTTTCATAGCGCGTAGCTGAGATCATGTGATCTCAATCGATTTAATATTTTGATGTAACTCCAAGCAAAAGTTGCTGAAAAAAGAGAGAAATCAGATGTTTAAAATTTGTGCGTTGCTGTCCACTAGCGCAGTAAATGGATTTGAAGTGAGCCTAAATCAAAATCTAACCACTTAAAACTGGTCGAAGAAAAATTCCTGAAAAAAGGAAGAACCACACGGAGTAAAAACGGGCCACCATCTAATTCGCTCAATTAGACTTAAAAACTACTATACGATGCCCAAATGTGTGTGATTTATCAAAATAAACACGAGCCTACTCACAGTTTCGCTTTTTTCGAATGCCTTCTGACCGAAGCAGTAGGCTGTTATTGTCTGGGTGATATTCATCTTTTCCGCCGACTCAAGCCTGGAACACGATCAGAGATATTTCAATTACTACACAGCATAAACTTAATGCTTATTTAGAGTGGTTCGAGTTATCCATTCAATTTCTATTGACCCCAATTGTGAGTCAAATTCACAAAAAAAACATCACTGGGTGTATAAACATTCCATGCACTTACACGATTGAAGATAAGAAAGATGCATTTGAATCATCTAAAACAGGACTGTCCAAGTTGGCCCAGAACTTCACGACATAGAATGCCGAATTAGGATTGGCTGATTCAAGCAACGAAGAAAACACACACTCGGAAGATACAGAGGAGGCGTTATTCTTGTTCATGCTTCCTTCATCGTGTTGCGACCTGTGAAAATTAAAATATTTGATGTCAAGTTTGAATAACACCGGCTAATCGCAAGCGCAAACAATATATATATATATATATATATATATATATATATATATATATATATATATATATATATCGGTTTAAGTTTCATGATTTTGACCTACACATGGCATTGAACGGCTTTTTAACGTTGCGACCTGTAAGAAGCTGAAAAAATTCATTAGAAATAAATAAGTTCCATTTAATTTTCATTATTTTGAAAGAAGCTCAACGAAGCACTCATCTTCATTTATGCGGAAAAAATCAAACACAAACTGCCATTTTTTAACCTTTCCATTTGCATTCAAAGAACGATTACAAAATTCATAATAATCATAATAATAATAATAATAATAATAATAATCATAATAATAATAATAATAAAAATAATAATAATAATAATAATACAAAATTATTTTCAAGCGAATTCATTACACAAACAAAATTACAAATGAAAATTTCTACTACAAAAACATCACTTGGGAAAACGCCATATCATAGTTCCTTTTCAATCACCTGTTTGAAGCTTCCATGTCGTTCGAGTGATTAACTGCCTGACTTCTGCCATTTGGGAATGAAGAGGAGAACTTGTCTGCTATCTGGCTCAGTTCTATTTCTTCCAGGTGTTGCATCTCCCAGTCCGTCTGCTCCAAATCCCTTCTCGATTGATTGTTTGATTCACTATATCTTAGATGCACTATGTTATGACTCAATGGCTAAAATAAATGTTTTAAATCAACAACCGAAATCGCTTCTATTTTAAAATCTTCATTTCATCACAAGCGAGAAAAACTACAAGGAATGACAAACTCTATTTCAAATAAACCCATTTATTTAATTGACTAAAGTTTTACACTTTCTGAAAATAGTTAGTAGGAAATTTACACCAAAGCTGATGACGACTCTTAAGAATTTGGAAGGCTTATTTTCAAAAATGTCATTGAGTACATTCATTATTCCTTGGACTACTTGTGTATCTTAATTTTCCTTTTCTCTATATTACTTTTTTTCATGTTTAACTAATTCTGATTTCTTACTGTTTCATTTTCATACGTCTCTGCGAATATTGCCATCTGCAGAATCTGAAGCTTAGTCGATCCCACCACTCCCCTGTGCCACTTTTCCCTCATATATCCCTTTACATGGGGGGAATCCTGTTGAGAGGGGGGCCGGTGCTGTTGCAAAGTGGGGTAGAGTGCTGCCACTATATTATCAGCCCCGTTTTCCTTGTATGAAGTTGAGAATGGTGAGGTTGAGGTGGGGAGGGGCTGGTTTTGTTGCATCTGATTGGAAGGGCGATGAGAGCCCGCGTCTGATGGGGAGTAGTTGTGGTACAGTGAACCAGGCCCGTGAGATGAGCTTGTGATTATGGAAGACTGGACCCTGGAACAAGTACAATTTCAAAGCCTGCCAGCGAATCGCTTTTTGAGTCAAGAATGGAAGGAAAAACAAATTCAAAAATTTTATTCGCTTTTCTTGAGTTATGAATATCAAACAAAATTTGGCGTCTTGATGCCTATAATACATGAAACCGGATCATAAATAGCAGATTTGATATCTACATCCGGAGAATATGGTGATGTGGATACCACATCTGCTATCTTATACCCGATTTCTTGTATATCGCGTATCATTCAAGTATAGATAAGTCAAGAAACCACATTTTGTCCGATACTCATAACTCCAGAATACGGGAGAATATGGTGAGAACAAGACAAACCTGTCAGCCTGGGTACCGCAAAGGCAGCGATCAGAAGGGAGAGGAGTGCAAAAGACAAAGCCTTCTACAGCGACCACGAAAAATTGAGGAAAATGGCGAAAGAACAACATGGAAGAATAGAGGGAAGAAGTAACCACCAACCAACTTAGGACGGAGCAGTCAGCACTCTGCAATGCCACCCTCGCTAAGATAGATGCAGCTGACTACTCGGAGTGCCCTGAATGCGGCGAAGAGGATACCGTTAAAGATAAGTTGTATGAATGTCAACCAGAAGAATTGAGATGACGGCTCAGAAGAACTGACGGCTCCCATTTCATCGAAGATCCTGGCGATATCCAAAAGCTCCTCCAGCGAAAGGTGGGAACATATTTTGACGCCGACGTAGGAAGAAGTAGAGAAGAAAAAGAAGACCAAAAAGAACAAGAAAATGGTGAGAATGAATTCTCATCCTCATCAGAAGATTGCGCATTAAAATAAGAGAGCTTAAGATTCAAATATCTTTGATTCTGCAATGAATGATTAACATGGTAAGAATGAAAGATAATACCCCCAAATGGTGTAAATGTACGCCTAAGTATTATAGAGATCACATTACGACGGATCCACAAATGAAGAAATAACGCCAGCCAAATCTTATCAAGCTAACACAAAAAACTTCACAACGCTGGGGTAAAGACGAAACTAGGCAATTAACCATATCGCTGCTCAAAATTTAACACAGGCGAAACGGAGCTTCGAATCACTTGCAATAAAATACAAACATGAAAAAAAACATAAGAATTCGAAAAAATGTCTTGATAAAAGATAACTAGGGTCCCAACTAAAACTGGAGGTAGCAGTTTGATATTTTTGGAATTTGTTATATTGATGCAGGAGAAATGGATAATTTCAAAATTTAGACTTTGTCAAAAACATTAGTTGTTTCTCTAAAATAAGTGAGAAGAGTGAAAATCTTCCCAAATACATAAAATCTTTCGAACAAAAAATAAGCAGCCGCCGCCGCTTCTGTTCAAAAAACTGACTTTCCGAAAGCTACAATTATTTTCCGCAATTGAAACGTCGCGGCGGCTTCAGCAGAAAATATTCCTAAAACTGGGTTCCTCGGTTGACTCCGATCACTTAACCTAAGAATTTGCACGGTAGGAGAAAAGTCAAAAAGTTTCCAAAAAATAGTGAATAAATAAAAAGTTTGACTTTTTCGCAAATCATAACTTTTTGTGTACAAATAAACAAAAGATCTTATACAGAAGAGACTCATAAAATCTGTAGTCTGCATTAAACGCAGAAACAAGATCTGAGAAGGTAATTTTTCTTGAGCAAATTCAAATAGTTTCAAAAAACGGTACAAAATCAATTATTGATTTTTCCGAGGACCATCACTTTTGTGTTCTAGAAAAAAGGGGTGTTCTAGATTATTCAGATGAGCTTCCCACAACTCACTTTTTCGATTGAACCCAAAACCTTAGATTTTGGAGGGTAAAATTGGAGAAAAGTCAAAACATTTCAAAAAACGGCCAAAAATCAAAAACTTGAGTATTCCGAGGGCTACAACTAATTGTAGAAAATAAATTAAGCGTAGCCGCGCATGCAGAAAAGCTTTCTACAAACCGTTCTTTGGATTGGATTAATAAAAAAAAACTTCAGATTCGGGCTGGTAATTTCCAAGAAGAGTTAAAAAGAAAAAAAGAACGGTAAAAAATCAAAAATTTGACTATTCCGAGGGCCATAACATTTTGTTAAGAAAAATTTGGGCATAGCCCTATATACAGAAAACTTTTCATAACGCGTTCTATCCATTGAGCCAAAGACATCAAATTTGGTAGGGTAGTTTTTGAGAGACTAGGAAATTATGCAGGCACACAGTTATGCAGGCAGTTTTTCCATTGATACGCCTTTTTAGAAATTCGGTGGAGTAGTTTTCTACTGCACTATAACTTTTGCAAAAAGTAAAAAAAAAAGAAGTCGTCTCAATGAAGAAAAAATGAAAATCCAACACTATTCATTTCCATAATACCAGATTTTTTTGTTGAGCAGTAAGTATTTGACCATCAAAACTACCCAAAATAAGCTGACTTAACAGATACAACAGCAGCCAAAACTATTTCGTCGAAAAAAAATTCAAATTCAGACGTGGTAAAATGACAAATTACAGAACTTTCAATCCTAGCAGTAAAAAAAATTGAGAATCAAAATTAAATCCATGATTTACAAAGTAGGCCAGAAAAAATAGTTTCAGATAAGATAAATGACATTTTTCAAAACTCGGAACATGAACCGACGGAAACTAGGCCGAAAAAGTGACAAGATTTTCAGTAATTTTTCAGAAATCGAAAATCCAAATCCTTTAACCTGGTATGATGTGACTGAAAGCTGGGCGAATTTTCATTTCCAGGGGCAGGCACATTTCCTGCTCCAACCAATTGTCTAGCTGAGGAGCTGAAAAGCGAACTGGGGTCGCTCCTATCTCTGAAGTGGTGAGGCATCCCTGCTCCTCCTACTCCATTGAAAGTATTGCTCAGCTCGAAGCCTGGAAATCATCAGATGTAGGATTAGGATTACTTGGCTTAATCAGAGGATAGGTACCTACTCTAGCGTCAACAGACTAATGCGCTGATAAACTTATTTGGTAAGCTAGGACAATTAATTAATTCATTTGCATAGTTGCTTTCACTTTTCTTAACTTCATCTTAATTAGTCTTCGTTCGAGTCGTAGTTTAAAAATAATGCTTTGCCTCAGTTATTGAAAAAAGGGATTTTTTTCCCATTTTTATTATGTAAAACCGTTGAATCGTGAAAAATATTAAGATCATTCTGCTTATTGCAATCTTGTGATAAAAATTTGGCGGAAAGGACTCAGTCGTAAAAAAAATACATAAGAAGTAGTTTCATTGGAAAAAATCAGAAATTCAATTTCCAAAAAAAAAACAGTCGAGAAACAACTACCATCATTAACTGTTAATTAGCCTAATTGTTGTTATGAGCTTATTAAAAAAGAGAATGTTATTGATGGATAATCAATTAGAGGAGAGTCAAATTGACACACAGAAGCGAAGCGGAGCTTCGCAACTCTTGCGATGCACAAATTACCTTACGCTACAAAATAGTGAATGACAAGCCAAAAAATTTATGATCAGTTATGTTGGAAAAAATTACTTGAAAAAATAACTTGACAAAAGTTGAAAAACTACAGCTACAAAAACTTCATATTTGTATCTGATAAAGCCTTGAACAGCCCTTACAAAATGGAAATCATTTACCGAGCGGCAACAAAGGCGACAAACTTTGGGTCGAAACCTGTTGAGCCAAAAACAAAACTGTTGTCACAAAAAATTTCATAAAACTCAAAGGTTCAGAATGGGCTTACTCGATTATACCTAGGTTAACAATTTTGCTTAATGCTTCCATCAAGCAAGCTACATTTCCAGCCGAACTTTCCAAAGCTAAAACTATACAATTTCACTAAGACGGAATTTAGCTAGATTATAATAATCACAAGCCGAAAGCTTTATTAATGACTTAAGGAAAAATGTGAACGGGTAAGTTTCAACAGAATTTAGGTTTATTTAAAGCTGTTCGATTTCAATTTGTGTAAACAATTTGGATTCAGCAAAAATCAGCATAAATATAACAAAAAAGTTGAGACATTGCGGTCTAGCTGTTATTAGAACAACTTCTTTTTGTTGCGAACATTGAAATGTGGAGGAACTTTGCATTCGTGTGTTTCCGTTTTTTTCTTTTTTCAACTTTCATGTTTTCCAAGCCATATCAGGCACCACAAAAAATCATCCGACAGGGTCGATTGATATATCATTTTAGCCGTGATTCAAACTACATTAAAATAATTCCAAAAAATTCCAAGTGCCGAGAAAAATCGCTTTGAAATCTTTGATTTTTCGTCTATTTTCGATCAATAAAAGCGATCGAGTAACGTTTGTTATATATGAACACCAGCAATTTAGGCAATAAACAATTGATTTGTGATCTTCATTTAGCTGTTCTTTGAAAAAAGAACTTGAAATAAGTTATTTTTCTAGTGCAAAAATTTGAAAATAGAAAAAAAAATCAAAAATTTTTTTTACGTTTTAATTAATTTTTGAAAACAATTGGAGTCGTTCATACCTAATTAACTAAATTTCTACGCGCCTTAGCTGTATCATCACACGACAAAGAAAGACACTAACTTGAAAAACAAAAGATTTTCTGAAAACGTGATTGGAACATTCTGTGCTACTTGCATAGCAACCACCTATTCTTGTTTTTATAGTTTAATGATATTCCGAGCATTATCAAGAAACCCAGTATGTTTTTGTTTGCAGGTGAATCAACTTTGATAGCATCTATCGACCAGTTGAAGGATGAATTCAATGAAAGTGCCCAGTGGCATGCTGCTAAAAGATTTTCACTTAAAATTAAAAAAAAATATTTTTACGAAGAACAACGCTGCGTATGATCCCAAAGTACATTGGAAATCTTTAGGAAGAAAAATTGACACCATATTAAGATTCGCTTATCATAACGATTATATCAGAAACATGTTACGAAAACAATGGGAAATAATTCCTAAGACAAGGCATTACGTTCCTCGCTCTGCTATGTTTTCCTATAATGAATCATATATTAGGTCTATTGTCCAGTATAGAATCTCAGTGCGTGATTGAAAAAATTACAATGCTTTACAACCGCCTTGTGTAAGGATTATCCGGCTACATCCGGCTACAGGATTATCCGGCTAAAAAATTACGGATGCATTTCTGATTTAAGTTAAAAAAAAACAATTTGACAGTAAACAGTCAGTTTATATAGAAACTATCGAAAAATTTAGTAAGATAGCTATTAAATCTGAACTAAATTTTTTTAATGAGCTGTTTTCTCTCGGTAACTCTTTCAAAAAACAAGATCCTAAAAAATTCTTCAATAAAGATCGTAAATTCCCAATTATAAAGACACTTATTTTGGAACAAAACTTTTCAATATTCATATATAGAATTATGCCGACTGATTCGCAGTGACTAAGTACAAAACAAGCTAACAAAATCTATCCGAACCAACAAGATCAATTTTCTCGAGACTACAACTTGGTTGTTTGATTTTTCTCTCCTAATAATCAAAACCCAGGGTTAAATGCTACCAGGCCATGATTTGGCCGCAAAATATGACGTTCCAAATCTTCTCAGTTGTTCAAAGATGGCGTTTTTTCAAAGTTTTAATATTTAATAAAAAAACAGCAAAACTATGTTTCATTTTCTTGATTTTTTCGAAATAAATGGTATAACTAAACTGTGTACAGTATTTTCAGCTGTACTTAAAGAATTATCGATAGCTCTTAGTATTTTCAAATTGAGAGAAATTAAGAATAAATGACATAATTAACAATATAATTATTTTGTATTTTTCCTCTTTTATTAAGAGTCTGTTATCTATCCTCTTCATTTCGAGAATGTGTTTGTTTTGATTGATGTTACAAGCGAAATTTTCTTTCTTTCTCAACTAAATCTTTTAGTATTTACCAAGCGGCCACTCAGCCAACAGCAGGTAGCTAGACGCTCGTTGAGCCAAAAACAAAACAGAACCCATAAAGAACTTCTGTCATAAAGTCATATTGAAATTTTGAGCGATTGAGAAATTTTTTCCTGAAATATTTTTTAAAATTTTAACCAATTCTTGCCCTTCAAACGGCATGAAAAAGGTTGACTAAGCCCATAAAACAAAAGCGAAACCAACAAAATTGCACGTAGGATTTAAAAGGAGAATTGCTTAACACAGAGGCGAAGCTGTGTTTCGTAAACACTAGTGAGAACACGACGATAAGGAGCTCTATAAGTTCCACTAAAAGGTAGAAATAAGCATCGATTTAGTACAAATTCGGCTACGTCTCAGATTCGATCTGCGACCTAGAGATTATGAGTCTCACGCACTAACCACTCAGCCGAGGAAGCTTAATAAATCACAAATACTAGCCTCAAATAAAGCAGAGAACAGATGCTATGAAGTTACCAATGCTTGGGATTATAAGTGACAATTTTTAATGAACATTTTCATGGGCTAATTAGGTTGGAAAAAAAGAGGGTTTAAACTAATAAACTAACGCTCGCAAGCTGGCTAGAGTAAATAACAAAATCGTTTTGAAAAATAGGCCTACAAAAATCTGCAAATGAAAGACCAATTCAAATTTGCCCAGGAAAAACTTTCATTTTCTTACAAACTGAAAAATTAAGAAATTCGAACTCAAGACCTTTGCGTGCTAAGCCAACCGCGTTACCTCTAGACCAAGTGGAAAGGAGCCTGGAAGCTGTTAAGGCTGAATAACAAAGAAAGTTGAACTTCGAGACATATTTGTAGGAAAAATTGTTAACGGTAAAAAAGTCTAGTTCCCGATTACAGGACACTTGCTCTTGCACGTTGCATAAATTTCTTTAGCATCTCTAAAGTCTTAATTTATTATTTCTTTACCAGAAACAGAGAATGAGGATGCGTCATAGAGTGCATTAGTGGAGAGGTGACCTCTGGACATGTTTTCTTTGCTAGTCCCATTCTGGTCTAGCAGATCTAAATTCAGCAAAAAAAGTCTTGTTAGAAGATTACTTGTTCAAAAGACACGATCAAATTGAAAGACAATCTCTTTTGAAAAGGGAGATCTTGCATTGATCCAATAGAATCAACTACTCACCACTGATGTGTGACTTTCCAGCAGACAGTCCTCCATAACCAAGCATCATTTGATCTATCGTCATCGGATCCTAAAGGCAGTCACATGCTCTGATTCAACTGTTCCCAATTCATGATTTTATTTTTTGTTCATTGTGTATGTTGGGCGATCAAAGCTATGTTGCATTAAATAGTTTTTTCGTTATTGATTTTGCCAATTTAAGCTATTTGCAACTTTCTGTCTATAGATTAGTTTCATTCAACCTACAGTGTCACTGCTCTTCAGCTTCTGAGACAAGTCTCGTGTCCTTTTCCTGGCCAGCACTTGTATATGACTGGAAACTTGCTTGCGACTTCTCTGCTTTCCTGTACGGATCTTAATGTAGCGAGCGATCAATTCGTTCCTCCCTGCATAAGCAATTAAGGAGAAATCATGATACCAAAATTACTGGTTGGATGGGCTAATTTCATCGAAAAAAGTAGAGAACACATTCTGTATTATTTTAATTTACATTCCAATTTCCTTAAAAGAGTCTCCTTGAATCATTGCTTTTCCTCCTGATGAACGATATTTTTGATGTTTTTCTACAACTGCAGCTCCTTTCAATAAAAAAAATACAATTGGTGTTCTCTTCCTCTTTTTCAAGATTGACTGCTTCACTAAATTTTCAACGGACAAGATTATACGTTTTTCCACTGACATACAATGTTAAAACGCAAACAACCCAACTCACCGAACATTTTGCCCTCTTCGGTGATGATGATCTTCCTCCGTCCACAGGGGGGATAGAGTGCCACTGCCTCCTGGAAGCTCTGCTCTATATCGGCACTCCAAACCCCCTCAGAGTCCTCATGGTCCAACACTGAACTAGATGACCCCACTGCACCCCCAGCGACCGAGTTGTTCACGCCTGAGTCAGAACTAGGACTAGAAGAGCTGAAACGACCAATTGTTTCAGCGTTTGAAACATGAAATTCTTTAGTAACATTTGAAATACATCTGAGCATGAACCACTTGCAGAAAATGACTGCAAACAAGCCAATAAAATTAGAAAAATAAATTAATCAGCCGTAAACTGCGTTATTTGTGTTGAAGCTTGCATTGATTTACATTAACTGCTACTAAATTGTTGCATACTTGGTATGTAACTGCCCATTATTTGCTGCTGGTTTATATGGTACCTGGTTCATATTTCGGCCCGGTTATGTACCACCACAGAAATGACTTAGAACTGTTTGAGAAAAATTGCCTATTTAAACGCCGCATTTGACCTGCTTGCTACAGCGATCCGCTTTTGACTTTTTTCGATCCTTAAACTTTTTGGGCTGCGAATATTGCCTTACATCCTCCCCACGCTGAGTAGCAACGATGACCGAGCTCAACCTATATATCTCTTGATAGATATGCTGAAGCGTTAGCTACTTGAAAAAGCATTTCAACCCAAATAATTAAACTACTAAGTCATGGACCTTCAGAATTGAAGCTCAACTCTATACGTATTTGGTCCTAAATTCAATCTTTCAATGATAGCTAGCTACAGAGATAGGATGTCAAAAATAAGTGTCACTAATATGTTAAGTTCGATGAAATATGCGTAATTTATGAACAAAAGAAGAACTTCTAACCTCGTGACGTCATTATGTGATAAAGCTGGTACGTTCAGGTGGTCTCTGGAATGGGAGTGAGAATGATGTGTGGGTATTTGAGCCCCTCCCCCACCGGGCGAAGAGTGGTTGCTTGTAGTGACAATTGCCGAGCAGGGCGAAAGGTCATCTTCCATATCCATATTTCAACAGGAGCGAAAGAAATTACAAATAACAGTTGCAATGTAAAAGAGATAGCAATAATTAAGAGATATTTATGGATAATTATTTTCTAGTGTTTTATTGTAATACCAATGAAGGTTAATTTGTCAATATGATACAACAAAACGAGGACCAATTTTAAGAAAACAAAGCAATATATGGATTGGTATTGGTAAGCCTCGCGATAATCTTGAATACCTAATCAATAATTAGCATATGATATCAAATATCGAATTGGTAAAATTGGAGATAGAATTCCCAAAGCCAATGTTGATTATATCATATGTATACGATATATAAAAAAGATGGAAGCTCGAAATGATTTTTGGAATTTGCCGATAAATCTAATATTAAACTACTGTGATGGATGAAGAAAAACTTTATACAATTATCATGAAAAACCTGAAAATAAACGAATCGTAATAAAATTTCAATGTCTTGAGGTGAAGAAACTCACTTGCCAAGTGATTTTTTAACTCAGGAATAGACTTAAAGAGAGGAGTTCCGACTACACTGATGAAATGATTCGTTCACGCTACTATTCTCAAATGGCTCTTCTTAGCAAAAATAGGTCTTCTTTCTCTAATGGACACCAAATTGATTTCTTTTTAGTCTTTAATAGCTGCTACATTATTCTTCTCCCAATCTAAGGGAAATCATCATCTCAATTTGCATAAGAAGACAGTTGTGCAAGGAGACTATTGTAAAGTAACAACTGAATTATTAATAGGTTGATTCAGTGAAAAATCAACAATTCTGTTTTCCTTTCGCGCGGAGGCTTTGAGCGAGAATAAATAAACTACAATTTGACGGCAAAGGACATTTTTTTGATGTTATGGCTTTCTCTCTTTCATAGCATATAATATTCATCGTGTCTTCTCTTTGGTGCTTTTCATATTAAAAATTACCTGTTAATCAAAATACTAAATCGAAAGAGTCCAAGCCCCGCTTTAAGTAGAATTGAATGCATAAAAACAGATTTATAACAGCCAAAAGACAGTTGGAAAAGAGTCAATGAACGCAAAGATTTAAAAAATACTGACTCGTTTTTTTTTTGAGAAAGACTTCAACTTCCGAATTTCAAAGAAAAAAATATATGGCTTTGACACTATTGATTGACTCTTTTTGATAACACCCAATTTGAGAAACCTCCATCAATGGGTAAATGGTTTATTCTGCTGGCAAATCTGAAAATTAAAATCAATCAGCGAAATTTGAAGTATCACGCTTTTCGAGACCTTTTTACGGTTCGATAGTGGAGTTTGCTTTCCTTTTAACAAAGGAAAAATCAAATTTGACCGTCAACAAATTTTATGAATTAAAAAAATCACTAAGACCTATATAAGCGTATTCACTACGTTCATGACTCTTAATAGTTCTCACTGGAATCTTTCCTCCAAATCAGTTTTCACTCCAAGTTGCAATTCAAAAAGAAATAGGGCGTGTTTTCACTGCTTAACGAAACTTTTTTTGAAAAAGCGGTTGTTTTCAAAACTTTGACAATAAAATGACTTTGTTAGGACTGTTCATTAAAATTTGATCACTTGGACGCTCGACAAAAACGTACTCTCTTAATTATCAATAACCCAACAGCGACCTTTCGGTTGAGACTTTTCCATTTAGATAACGCAACTGCGACCTTTCGCGTTCAGATAAGAAGAGTCTGTGGATGCACCCAACCAGCACAAAGAGCATCCAATACCAAGCGCATCGCAAAAGACTATTTCGTAAAAGATTTTGCAGCTAAAAATATACTTTATTCGTCTGTGCTGGAGCAAATCATTTAGTTTACAGCTATGATTTAGAAATAAATAATCAGTTTTCAGCAGCATCAATCTGGGTTCAGTGTGCACAAAATTTTCATTTTAATATCAAGTCAAGTCAACGTTGAAAAGCTTTTACATCACTTCACTAGCAGGGTATCGATTACAAGAAATGCACCAAAAATATAGTACACATTGCAACTACTCAACATTAAAATTCATAGATTTGGAAGCTACAAACTAACAGTGAGTGGTTATAATATTCAGTTTAGCATCTCTCAGATTGACTACCTTAAGCTGACATTTTTAGTTGCTCAAGGGAGTCAAGACCAACTTTCTATTATTTAACACTGAGGTTGATTAAAGAAGAAATTCTTTTAATGATTTTGATCCATAAACCATACTGGAATCTAATCCTTCAATTTTCAAACAAAATCCTTCAATTTCCAACAGGTAAGCCCCCAGTTTGCCCACCAGAGAAGATAATACGCAACCATACACAAACCATAAATGATTTGTATGATGAAGACTAATCATGTGTCGGATATAAAATTTCCGAAAGCCCTCAAAATAATTTTTCACTAATTAAATTGATATAAAAACAAATTCATACTATTAGGAATCTGCTGGTAAGCTATAAAATTGTTCACCATACAAATCATACGTCTCAACCAGCGGCGGATCTAGGATTTTCTCGAGGGGGGGGCGGATTTTCAAAGGTTTTTTCTACCTTTTTTTATGTTGACCAAAAAAAATTTCTGAGTTCACCCAAATCGCTATAAAGATCCCATTTTGACCTTTTTTTTCTGCGCCGCAGGCAAGTTTTTGAAAAAATTGGCCAAAATGGCGCTTTTAGGAACCTTTTGGAAAATTTTGACCAAAAAAAATATTTTTTCGGCGCGCGCTCCCCCTTAAAATTAGTCAGGCAAATTTTAGGGCCATTCAGCCAAAAATTGATCAAAATAATACAAAGGGCGGGCCCTTTGGGTCGGTAGGGGGTCGAAACCCTGAGGGGGCGAGTCCGACGCCCCCTAAATTCACTGGTGGTCTCAACAGATATGGTCCTATTAATAGAAGCAGTGGAAAATTGATGCAGAAAAGGTATCCTCGGAACAAGAAACGCTTTCAATGAACTTTGACTTTTTCACAATACAAATAATACAGCAACATATATGGTGCTATGTACGAGAAAATTTTTTCATGAAAAATTGCTATGATTGGAAGTATTACAGACAGGCAACCCAAACAACATTTGATAAAGATAAGCCTACAAAATTTCATGAAAACGTGAAATAGAAAAAGTTGCTCTTTTCATAACTTGAGGATGGTATGAAAAGAGCAACTTTTGTAGGCTTATCTTTATAGTACTTTTTCTGACAAAATAACTTTTTTGAAAATCTTAGGTTAAAAACACTGGAAAATTTTAAAAATCAGCAGCGTTAGGTTGTATTTTTGTTTCTAGGTCAACTTGAGCCATTTCTTTTGAATTAAAACGTTAACTTTCTCATTTTCAGAAGCAAACTGTAGATTTGAGAGATTACTTCTCCGGGTCCGTTCACAACTTAGTGGCACCGCAAAGTGGTCTCTTGGGTAAAGAATTCAGCGCGGCGCCGAGATTCACTACTATCCACAGGGTTAACTTGGTGGCAACTATTCTGTACTGTATTCGGTTACTTGCCGCATTTTTGTACTGCTCTTAGGGTTGTTTAGTCCGCTCGAAAGTGCAAGAATTTCCAATGGTAATTGAGTTCAGATAAAATAAGTTTAAATGCAGGAGGCTTTAAGTTGGCAGAATATAATCTAATATCTAATCAAAGGAAAGTTTCCGCGATCTATCAGCACAATTGCCTAATTGCAATTCAACTCCCAACTTACTTAATTATATGATTCTCTCTCACACAGTAATTCCACGCAACAATTTAGTTCGATCTGTTAAAATTAGTGTCTACGGATCACTATTCCTTTGAGGTACTTTAACATATCTCTCTAACTTCACAATCTCTCGTTCTCTAACTCTGAGAACCAATTACTCTACACAATAGCAATTATCGCTTTTCAGCTAACAACGAGAACCCAACGACTCTCTCAATAGCAACTATCGTTCTGCCTAAGGGTAGGCTGTTTATCAGTCTCTTTGTTTTTCTATTTGAGTTTCAGTTATAGTTAGAATTATGATCGTCCCTATAAGTCCTGACATTTACATTGTTGCCGCTTTCGCAAAGTATTAATGGAATCCTTTCTCTGACGAGACTAGTCCTATATTCCAAGTTCATTATAGGTACTCTAACTAAAATGTGCAAATCTCGAGTCCAATTTCACCTCTAAACCAAGATATGTTAAACTAATCAATCTCCCAAGGCTTTTATTTAAATATCCCATTAACGTTCCGACCTCCCGAGAGTAGGAGGAGACCCTTTTGTGGGTAGCTAATTCATTCCAAGCATTCAAAATTCCAATCTATACTCTATTTTAATCCCGACCTAGCTATCAGGGGAGCGTAGTTCGCTTATTAGGAGTGAAATTGAACTCAAAAGTCATCTACGGGGAACTAAGTAAATATCCCCTCCATTCATGTTATTTAGGAGATCTACTTCCCGCGCCATGCTCCCATTACTGCCAATTTCTTCTGGGACCACTTTTCTTTAGTCTGATTGATATTCAAAAAATAGCGTATTCGCCGAGCTTAGTTGGACTCAATGTTTACCAAGTCCAATTCAATCAGTTCAACCACTTCAAGGTTACAATGTAAAAGCGACATCCCTTTCAGCTTGTGCTTCAGTTCCCAAAAGGTAAGTTCCTCCCAAATGTAAGTGGGGCGACCGGTTCCGATTTCAAAAGTCCATATCACTTTTCCCAGGAAAGGGCGATTAGCACCGGGAGTCGCAGGAGGGGTTTTATCGACAAGGTGTCCTTTTTCGGGTTTGGGTTCTAGTGGATATTGCTTCCATAAAATCAATATGCCCTAGCTCGTAAAATGCCCATTTCCTCTCTATGGGGGGTGTATTTCCCCAGTGCTAATAACTTCCAATCCAACCGTCCGATTCTGCTCAAATTGTGATACATGTACCTTGACACTGTCTATCATACCCCAGAGTTTGGTCTCCCTGTCTTCAGTGGGGGCCGAGAAATCTCCTCCGGAAGTCGGGGTGGGGACTATTTGCATTGGGTATAACACCGGAAGTAGATGTCCAGGGAGGCTGGAGTTCTGAACTTACGCTTCCCTCAACTAGGTTTATATCCAACCAAAATTTAATCCCATTCCAACCGCTAGTTACCGAGTAATAATAGGCTATTTGCACTTCCGGGAACCGCTATCATTTTTCCCAGGTGGGTTCGAGGGATCCTGATTTTTGCATGCCCGGGTCAAATCGTCTCTAGTATCCATCCTATGAGTCTTATAAGTTACCTTCCTTAGTTTCCATTTGGGGGAGGGTTGCGGATCTTACTTCACTTGGGCCTCAGCCATGGGATAGACTGTATCTTTGAAGGTTGGAACTTATTTTGGACTTGACTTTGTTTAACTTTCTACTTATCGTACTGATTCGTCAATACCGAGCTAAGTACTACACATTGGATTTACTATAATGCACTAAATAGCCTTCAGTCATGGAGTATGAAACTTACAAATCTATCATTAAATACCACAAGGGTAAGCCCGAGCGTAAGGAGGTTATCCCCTGATTTAAGTAGGGTAGAGAAGGCGACGTTCCAGTGTAAAGCTTCCTGGTATTTATTTATAATCACAGAATTTGTACCGGGACGGGAAAATTGTTCTGAACGAACGTACGCACTGAACGAACGTACGTTCTGAACGAACGCAAGGCCAGTCTAATTTTTTGCAGTCTCTGCAGAAAAATTAGCCTCAGTTGAGAAAAATGCGAAAAAACACTGGCGGTTTTGTTAAGTGACGACCCAATGAAACACCATAGCCTCGAGACCCGACGCCAG